TTATAAAAAATAACTACTCGGTACGCTTAATTTATCGTAATTTGCACAGACAAAAGTTTATCGACATTGATATATTGTTCAAACTATTGTTTTATGAAAATTCTTTTTTTTTTCTCTACTTTTTTCTCTATATTTTCTTCGTAGAGTTTGTACAATGTCAAATAATATTTGTTCAATTGAGATTGTTCTAATTTTATTCTCTCCCCATACTCTTCATTACTCATACACTTCTCATTATTCGTAATACACATTTGAAACGAACTATATAGTGATGTAATTGACATTTCTCTTTGTGATCAAATGATTTCTCATATTATTCAATTTTACAATAAGTCACTTGAGAATAAACACACTTTTCTATCGTAATTTTAAATATGTCTTGTAATTTAGAAAATTTAAAGGTAATAAAATCTCCTTAGAATATTCAGTCATTTTTACTAAATAAATAAAATTGAAGAACTAAAACGAATTAGTCAAAAGTTCAAGATTACGCATGTTCTATGTACAATATCAATCTTTAAAAGTATTTTTGTTCCATTTTATACTTGATATTTTATCGGGCTTGCTCATAACATGATGGATATATTAGAAAATCTAACAACTCAATATTTTCATCAAAAGCGTCCTGTTAATTAGATCATCCAATCGCTTAATTTTATCAGTGTCAATCATTTATAAATTATAAGTATGATTTAATATAAAAAATTCAAACAGTTTCTATATAGATATTATCTCATTACCATAAAGAACACAGGTACTAAAACAATTCAAAATTTATGTTTTTTGTTCGCAGACGATGTTTCAATCTATTCTACCTCAAATGACATTAATAAGTCAATTGTTGGTATGAATAATGATCTTGACAAAGTCTATAAATGGTCCTTGCGATGGTACCTGCCGCTAAACGTCCTTAAATGCTTTGGAATGATTTTTCATCGATCAACAATGCTCGCTGTCTTGCCACCTTTACAGATCAATAATATTTCCTTAGATTTTGTAAACCATCCATTTTGGTTTATATCTTACTATAAATTTTGACTGGACTCTACATATTAACACACTGATTTCTAAATGTGGTAAACAGTTGGCTGTTTGAAATTTTTGAGCAGGACTCTATCTCGTCTAGCTCTCAGTCTGGCTTACAATGCATATATTTTGAGTTGTATTAACTATGCTAGCGTTATATATTCTTCAACAAATGAAAAAAATTTGAAGCGTCTAGTTACTCTGCAATACTACGCGTCCCTTGCTGTCACAGGAGCTATGTCAGGTAGTTCGCACCAAAAGGTAATTAGTGAACTAGGATGGATTCCGCTCTTGAGTACAATAGTCAGTGGTAAAATAACTCAGTTTGGTTTATTTGACATTCATCGTCTTTGTTTTTTCTTTAAAATTGTGAACAAAATATATGATTTGAATGACCTATTGACACCAGCGAATACCTGTACCTATCCTTTACATAGTCAAAACAATGGTAAATTACCAGTGCATCTCGGTGGTATCAAAGTCTTACAAGAGTCATTTATTCACAGAACCACTAAGCTTTGAAACGAACTTCCCTATGACCTTCGATCACAGACAGGATTTCATAGTTTTAAAAACAAACTAAAATTACCGTGAACTAAAGTTTCGACAACCTGTGGCCGAGGACCGCATGGCTGACATTGACCTTTTCCGTTGCAGAGTAAATTTCAGTCAATTAAACTTTGACCTCGCTAAGCACCATCTAGTTGAAGAATGTACGTGTACATGTGGGTTGCTCCACGAAACCGTTTCTCACTTCTTTCTTACCTATCCTCTTTTCATTACGGAAAGATCTCCAATGTTAAATATCTTTAAGACGGTGTTAAAGATCAACATCATCCAGTTAAACCATATTCTCTTTAGGGATCCAATTTTTTCTCTTATGAATAAACGTGACTTATTCATATTATATGATAGTGTATTAGACTTCATAAAAACGACAAAACGTTTCCGTCCGTGATGTGGTTGTACTTGACCTGCTTTTATTGTTCTGTAGTAGACACGCTCAGGTCGAAATTGATAGTGATCCGTTGATAACATTCTAACATGATAAACGAGTCCTTAAAACTTACTCTCCCTTGTCCTAGAATAGTTTGCCGTGCTTTCTCCAATATATTATCAGCTATTCTTTCTCTTCTCTTTTTAGCAATTAACTGTATTTCTCTTTTGATCAAATTGTCACAACATGTAATGAGCTTAGCTCGATTTGTTGTTTAATAAACTTAGTTTAAATTAAAATGAAAAACCGTTTTTTTATATGGGATTTTTAGTACATTTTTCGAATATCTCGAGAAGGAAAGAATATTTTTCAAAAAGAAAAAAAGTCAACCTAAGATAGGGTCTGAAGTATCTGTGGTAAAATTTTGAGCTCGATCGGACCATTTTTTCGAAGGGTTGTAATGCGTGCCAATGAAAACTGGAGTTTTCCATAAAATCCATAGAAACACACGTCAGAAAATTCTGTGCAAAAATATATCGATTTTCTTTTTCGAAGTTCTATCTCTGGTATAAATTTGAACCCGATCCGACATCGGCTTTCGCGGTTTCCAAGGGGGTAAAAAACGAGGAAGGCTACCCTTAAGGACATAGAAAAGACATTCCACAATCTTTCAATCTACAGAAATGAGTTCAAAATTTTTACTAAACTTTCTGTAATATGGTCAGGACAATACAAGGAAATATTACCCAAAAATTAAGGTTATGAGTCATAACCTTGCTAGTTTCTTTTACAGACTTCACTGTGTTTACGACATGCATATTCGAATGTTGGATCGTTCATCCGTAGCTAAAATTTCACTCTTTTGTTTGTACATACTTGTATTCGACCACTGTCTGTTAGATCAATCTATTCACAATAATATTTGATGCTAACATACTGAATATAGAGCAGAAATTTATCAGATCTCGTAATAATAATATTGTTGAAGTTAGTTTTGAATTTCTATGTGTTGTTATTTTATATTTCACTTGCTACATGTAAGTGAATAACAGATTTTATAACTTTCAGTTATTTTATATGTTTTAGCTTTCCACCGTCATATACGTTTGAATATAAGCAAATTATCTATACATAAAAAATAAATTTCCTTTGTTTATTTAACCGTGATTTGTGTCAGTTACGCTAACAAACACATATGCAATAGATATAAAGTGACATATTTGTGTAAGATAGAATTGACTGAATTGAAATTCCTATGCAGTTGACAAAACTTGTTATTAAAAATTTTTCATTTTATACAGCAACATTTAACTCAATGAAAAAAGATTTGTACTCGTTACATAGTGTCTAAATATAGTTCATGTCAAGGAGATTTTGTTATCAGTTCTTTCTAATAGTTAAATGGGTACAATTTTATTCATTTACTTAAGCATAGTTTCGAATAATGTCGAAATAATTATAGAAAAAATAGAATCAACAAAAAAAAAGTGACAATGAAAAAATCGAGTGGACTGCATAATTTTGTGTTATTCCATAGTTCTAGTTTAGAACATCATATTGTGATTTATCTTGCTTGTATTCTTGAAAAATAATATTTATATCAACATGTCGCCATAAGACTTATTATCAAAAATAACAAACTTATATCAACAACACTGACATTTTGTCAGTTTTTAGTCCAATACTTTTGTTTACACAGTATCTTTATCCCAGGCGAACGGTTATATAGAACGATGTATGTGCAAACTTTTATCCAATTTGAGACTAGATTAAACTGTGTGCGTATTCATTCCACGTACGGTATTCTATTCTATTCTATTCATTCCACGTATGTATTCTAATTTTTTGAATTGAACTGAATAAGGCTTTATGATTAATATACTCTCTATGTTAAAGTGTGGCTTGACCACATTCGGTCCTGACCACTGACAGTGATACATTACAAAAGTAACGATTAGCCCGCTATTTTTATTATTATGAAAAAGTAAAATTTAATAATTGATCAAAGAAAGTCTTGTAATTGTTTTCGTTACGGCAGAAGCCGTAATGTACTTTCCTGGTCTCCCCTTTGGTAGGCCTGGAATGCATGGTCTTTCACAGAAATGATTGTAGCAAACATTTATAGCATTCTTATTTAACAGGAAGCAGTTTAACATCTCATGTTCACAGAGTTGGATATAGTTTAATCTCTTCACTAAACACTTCTTGAATTTCATCTCTAAATATGTATTCTAATACTTTATAACCATCGTAGTTTAATTTTCTATCATTAACATTTGATAGTACATGATCATTATCCCGCTTTTTCCGAATTGAGATCAATTTTTTGCACTCACTCTCACTCTCTGCTTCCCGTCCTCTGATGTTTGCTTGATGTCAACTAAGACTTTAAGACAATTAAGACATTTTATCAAAAAAGTGATCTCAATTCGGAAGCCTCGTCATTATCCACATAGCACTGTGTATAAGGTCAAAGATAATCTGTTCATAATACACTTTTCTTTTGAAAGTCAACCTGCTCAATATATTGACATGTGTTCTAAAATTCTATAAACTAAATTTTGCTGTTATTCAGTAGAAAAAATGAATGATAATAGAAATCAATCAGATAAGTTTTTCAAATAATAAATATAATGCGTCATTGCAAGCATGAAAGGCGATTTATATGGTCCGTTTAAATTAAACTTATATGAAAAGTGATAGAGTAGCCTGGACAATTACGATGAGGATAAAAACTTCATTCAGATTCATTACGACAATATCGTCCGAGTGTTGAAGAGATGTTACGACGTTGTATATGAAATAGACTAAGCTAAGTACATGGGTGGATAGTCCAAGATGACTACTCTTAAAATTCATATTGATTTTGCCAATATCAAAGGTTAATGAGAGTTCATGAAGAAGTTTTGTAGAGAAATGTTGTCGCTTTGATGGTACAGAGTCAGATTTTGAAATGACGTGAAACCAAAAGTTCTTTCTTAACGATCCACTTTTTATTGTATTTGATTTTTCTAGTTCAGAATTTTTGATTTTCTTATCATATAGGTGGAAGGAATATTTTGATCAAACCAGAACCATGAAAGTAATTTATGACAGAGTCAAGTCTCCACTTTTCAACCATACCCTCAATAGCTGGATCACTAGAGAAAGAATGAAAAAGTAAAAGTTGGGTCCTGTGAACGTTTCTCTTACAGAAAAAGAATGCGTTAGCAAATATATGGAATACAGTTATGCAGAGAAAATATTTCTCGTTCTGAAAAGTATCCAGGGTCGTTCAGAAAGTATTACTGCTCCAGAAGAAGAACTCGAATCCAGTACGTTCTACAATTCGAACGATGAAGACCGGATATCTTTTGAAAACGGACATTTTACAGTTGAAAATCACCGTTTATCATACATTTTTTTCCTACTATCGTTTTTTCTAAATTTTTCATTCAGAGAATCTGTGTACTTCTCACTTCATCATAAAACTATTTTTCAATATCAATAGTTTGATCAAAAGTTACAGTAGACTATGTTATTTTTTCCTTCAACACTAATAGTTGACACTCTCTATTTATTCTCATAGTTACAGCACGTCACGATCGTTTATTTTCATTTTTCTCACCCTTTTTTGGTATGTTCACATCCCCTGGTATGTACCATTTAGGTTTTGATACATAAGCCATAGTGCAAAGAGACGGTTTTGTTTGCTAAAGAAATTAACGAAACATTACGCTTTCCTCAATTAACTAAAGAAAAACTCATACTACTATCCATTTCAAATTAAAAGGCAGATGATTAGTTTTTGAATAACGTCAGACAGAAAAGAGATAAAGCCCTGCAGCTTTCCCTACTCGATAGCCAAGATTTTAATGTATATTTCATAAACAAAATATACTATTTTTTTCATAAGTAAATAGCCCAAAGTGTCCTCTTCAAAATAGGATTTAAGCGGGACATTGACTTTCAGTGATTCAGATGTAGCACGGAATTTTCAAGGAACCCTTCCTAGAACTGGCAATCGCTGAGTTGGAATAACCTGGAAATCGCAAGAGATATACGTAATCGACCACACTGAATCTAGTGGCAACGCTTATTTTCGAAGAAAAACTAAAAAAATCTAATGAAAGCCGTGTTTTACGAAAACTGGATTTCGGGGCTGCTTCCACGTAAGAATTTTGCCAATATCAAAGGTTGCTGAGAGTTCATGAAGAAGTTTTCCAGAAAGCTTATAAAAATAATTTCTTTTAGCTTCTAATATTTCAGTAAAATATCGGAATCAAAATGAATTTCAATGACGCTAGTATGTAGAACACATATTTCTGATTAAAATTTGTGTCCAGAGGTACACTAGCCGATTTTGACGTGTAGAAAATGAAGACAAGAGTTCTCACAGAAACCTTTATGGATAGTTTGTGTGTTTAAGGTTGACTTGTTCACGAACACATATAATTGCCCGAAATGATTAAAATTTGATTCATCCTTGCTGATTAGTTAGACTGGAGCTGGATCTACAAATTTATTTTAAACTTTCGGCGACATAGCTTCACAAGAAGTCCGGGCGGGAGGGAGGCGGTGGTTATTGCGAGTTACCAGTTGAAATTTGACTGAGATTTATCCACAAACTAGACCTATAAGCTTGCAAACATTCACGCGCGTTGCACCAACTATATAGCACTTGAAACAATTACATGCTACACTAACTATTCGGAGCATGAACTTCGATTCGTGCCTGAATTCTCCCAACTGACCGCTTGCCATGAGGCATCTGACAAGTACCACGCTACGTCTGTGTATCCAATAGGCCGCACGCCGTGGGACAACAGACATTCATACATAAAGAACTTGGTGTCTCAACTCACCACTTTCCGCGGGCTTCATGTTAAGTTGAGGACGTTTCTTCCCAAGTTGAATATGCCAATTGTTTCTTTTCTTGGTTTTTGGAGGCTTCTTGAGAATCCATGTCACCGAAAGTTTAAAACAAATATGTAGACCGATGTCCAGTAACTAACTAATCAGCAAGAATGAATCAAATTTTAATCATTTCGGGCAATTATATGTGTTCGTGAACAAGTCAACCTTAAACACAAACTATCCATAAAGATTTCTGTGAGAAGAACACTCTTGTCTTCATTTTCTACACGTCAAAAGCGACTAGTGTACCTCGGGACAGAAGACGTTGTGTCAGAACAGTTTTCTACTTATTCATTATGTCACGATTCAAACAATGAGTTTCATTTCTGTTGTGAATTCCAGTGTGAATAAGTCGCTCACATCTAAACTAACTAACGTGTGTAATTTTTTGATTTTTAATTTATATAGTTTTCCAATTAAATCTTTAGTATTTTTGATAGATCTTCTGTTGTCTGCTATATTTTTTATGATATTTGTGATATATTTTACTAGTGCTGAACCCATACTATCTCTCGTCCAGACAATTAATCTCATGCTCTTCTCTATTTTATGAACTTTCAATTATCCACGAACAATTAGTATTTTCTTGTCTACTAGTAACATTTCCATGATGTCTTCGTCGATTTCTCCTTTACCTACTAACTCCGATAATAGCATTTGTAGCTTCTTGTAAATGTATTTCGACGGATCATCATTTAACTGTGTATATGAGTCTGTGTCTAACTTCTCCTGAATTTTGTTGATATAATCCTCCTTTATCTGCTGGTATAACAATGAAGTGTTCATCTGTTTTCAACTTTTTCAGTGCTTTTTGTTAATTCCTAGAGAGATTATCATAATATTTAGTTTTATTAGATTGGAGATATTGAGATAAAACTCTTTTGACTCCACTAACGATATCTTCCTTTTCCCCTAACCTCTTTCGTTTTAACCTATTTCCACTCCAACTATCACTTTTGACACTAACTTTGTCGTAAAATTTTATAAAGACAAAGTATATATTTCATGAAATATTAAAAATATAATTTATCCGACTTCGTATATTACAAAGACCCTATTCTACTTAAAGCAATAACTTACTTTAATATCGTACAAAAATTTAAAATTTGTTTCTTGTGAACATGCGTTTTCAACAGCATTTGCTAATTCAAGAGCACCCCGCTCCACCTAAAACAAAAACTCAATTTACTAATAATGATAATTTCATTTTCAACTAGCCTTTAGCCCAATAATTTGACATAACAGCATCGTAGGCACGTATTTATTTTTCAATACGTGTAATAACCAATTCAATTTCAGTATTCGTATCTGTTTTGAATAAAACATAGTAATTCTTTTTTGTTATAAAACTTTAAAAAAATTTAAAAATCAATTTACAGCAATCACAATCGGAACGTCGAACAAACTTGTATTTTGTTTTATTAAATTTTAGCAGTTCACACTTCGAGCAATTTTAAATTCTATTGAAAGAAACAAAATTATTCTGAAATACTAGGACGTTCGTATATTTTATCTCTGTTGATATAAACTTTATTTATTTAGAAGAAATGTTGAAAAAATCAGTAGAAATTATGAGAAGAAGGAGGCGAACCCATTACATCTTAACATAAATTGACTGAGGACAGAGGACAGCACTAGAATACATGTATAGAAACAATACACGGCGACAACATTTAAGAGAGAAATAACAAACTAAGTTAAAAAAGTTAAAGAAATTTTCTTATTTACTAATGATACGTTTTCCATCAATTAAATAGCATATCTAATAGCACTTAATAATAGAATAAAATATGTTTTCATGCACTTTAGACTATACTCTACAAGATGCAATAATGAGTTTTAAAAATAATTATTCAATTGCTTATCTCATTGAAGTTATGTGTTATCTGTTTAAGCCATTCCTCTTTCTTAATTTATAACATTTCTAAAATCAAAAGCCCTGGTGTTTCAGTGGATTATGTTAGTTTTTTTGTACGAAATTTTGAGATACAGATTTCTAGAAAACCGGGTTCCTATTCTCTATTAAGTTGAATGGTTTTGGTCGAAAAATAACGAAGTTAGAAAGCGACGACTTGGTCGATTATCCTATCTCAACAAAGAAGCCTCATTTTCTAAGCAAGAAAGCAAAATTTTAAAAAAAGCAACGTATAGTTTTGTGCATCGTTGAAAGCGGATTCCAACGCACTATAGAAAAAAAAATTCAAATACGTAATGGGAGGGACGAGAAAGCCCGGGAAGGAGAGGGTCTCATTTTTGGCTGTTTCAATTGATGATTTTTTTTCAAGTAGTAGACAAGGTAGTAGAACTGGTATAAATACATTTCTAGGACCAGTTTTACTCAAGGATTTCGAAAAAAAGGCTTTTAGAGCGTTAAAACGCAAAGGAAAAAAATTATGAACAATTTCTGTAGGAGAGCGTTTTTCGGATTTTTGAGACTCCTGCTCAGTATTTTTCATTTTTTCAGATGAAGACACGGTCGAACCGAAAAAATAAGGTCATATTCTTGATCAGCAGACTCCACCGAATCAGAATATGCGTGTTTAAAAGCAATCTAAGAGGTCACAGAATTTTTGAATTAGCATTTTCCTTTAAATTTCGACCGATAACTTCAACCGAATAAATTTATGAACCAATAGTTTACTGTACACTTGTATCTACTAGGGTCCTGTCGTTATAATGCATCGCTACTATACCACTGTTCGTTCAAATTTAAGTCACATAATATAAGGACAGTTTCTTCATTCGAAAGAATATTTGTTTTACTTAGAAGATAGTCTTATTATTAATATTCTTCAAACTCAAAGATTAGTGCCATTTTAAGAATATTACTCAAAACTTTCGCTTATATCATTTTAAAATACATTTTCATTCTTAATTTGACGTTTTTCTTTTGTTTTCATTCATTATCACAAACACATAAAAAACAAACTACAAAACACACAAATCAAATCGGAAGAAAAAAATATGTTGTTGTTTTTTGTCGCATTTCTTGTTCATGAATTTTGATCTATTTTTGTAGGATTTTTGCACGTTGTTTGAACATATGTTTATACATTGACGGAAAGTCTAAATCAAAAATAATAGATTAGGAATAAAATACATTGTTTTATCTGCCTTTTTTTCTTTTTGCTCGATGATGAAAAATTAATTAGCATATTCGTCATCGGCGACCGAGCTAACACCTCTAGCTGAGAGTCCAGAAGAATTTTAAATATTATTTTTAGGAACAATTAAAATTTTAATTTTTCCTAGAGAAAAATAAAATATTACACTCATTTTGATTTTTCTTAATAGAAATTAATTATCAATTATTTCTCTAGAAATAGTTTAAATTTTTCTAGCAAACAAGTTTTACCACTGTATTTTAATGCTGGACAGATATAGTGGACATGATCTATTACATCTGAGTAACGGTAATTTCGAAGATATGTGTGCTGTTCATTAAAGTTATTACTATCAATGACATTATTCAGACGTGTTAACGTTAATTCCGCTCTTACTGAAGTATGCCATTCTAATGATACTTGTAATACGAAAAGTTGTCCATGTAGAGCAAGAAAATTTAAATTCCTAAGAAAAAAACGTTTATTCAAATGTGTAAAGATTTGTTTTCTTTCTCAAATATGATTGTTTGTTTTGGAAATAAGTTTCATGTTTTTAAGTCTTAAAAGGATTTGGATTTTGAACAAATGCTTGCAAAGCGTCTACTGTTGTCTGTCTTATATAGGAAAGAAAAATTTTAATTTTTCCTATAATAAGTATTAAAATACAGTGATAAAACTTGTTTGCTAGAAAAATTTAAACGATTTCTAAAGAAATAATTGATAATTAATTTCTACTAAGAAAAATTAAAATGAGTGTAATATTTTATTTTTCTCTAGGAAAAATTAAAATTTTAATTGTTCCTAGGAGTATTTCAAAGTGCGTTGGATTTGATTTCTTCCTACCATGTATATCTCGTCTTGTCGTCGAAATATACAGATAAATTAGTCAGATTATGCAAGAGACAGATTTAAAAAGGAGTGCATAAGATCAAAGATACACCACATAATATTGTTTTAAGTAAAAAGCTGTGCGCCGATGGTAACTGTTTGGTGACGTTGTTTGAATCTTTTCCAGTCTACGACGCTCGGAAAAAAGTCATTTTCACACCGTGGCCATGTTCCGTAATATATACCACTGTGAGATTAGATTTCGTCACATATATCAAACCTTTCAAAAGAGTCAAAATCATCTGATAAAATGATTCTGACGAAACATTTAGACAGTTTATGAAAAGTACTTACGACGGAACTTTTCCTAATGCCCCTTCGTTTTTTTAACGAAATGTAGTATGTTATAGGTAATCGACCATGCTGATTCCGAATCTGATAGCAGTTTTTCTCCATAGATCCTTTCCAGCCAGTTTCCGGAAAACTGGTTTTCTAGGTACCTCGAAAAATCCCCAAAAGTTTCTCGAAATAAGTCACGATTATAGCCCACGAAATTCTGATCAAAACGAGACATTTCCTAGCTCTACAAGGCCTTTCTTTGCAAAGTTATAGAGTTTACAAGAAAAGCCTTACATGTTCATTGTCACCTCAGAGCTACAGAAAGAAAAAGGAAAAAGGAATTTAGGACTTTGGAACGAAGGGCATTTGGAAAGGTTCCCTCGTTAGACTACAACGATTATTCCCTATGCAAAATGTGGTTGGTATCAGACTCAATTATATTCTCCAGAAAATTTTTGATCAAATTTTTTGTAGTAACGATAGACAACAACTACAACTATGAATTCAGTTTATCAAACTAACATTACAGAACCGAAGATGTTTATAAAATACATTGTCGTCATTGACGATGAAAAATCAAGATCATCTGTATATACAACAAGGACAATCAATAGAATCTGTGAAAAATATTTCTTTTAGAGGGACGTTTTTTAAATTATCATCAGAAAAGAAAGCTATTTTTCTGAATAAATCATTTTAACTTTTAACTAATTTTTTTCTTAGCACATACACCATAGAATTAAAGATGTGAACTGCACTTTTGTTAAAAATAAATATAAAATACTTACAAACATATGCTGAAACCACGATACATAATAAGTAAAAGTAGTCTAATCCAAAATTATATTTATTTGGTAATAATATTGAATAATGACTTCGACGTGGTTGAGAATAAATAGACGACATTCCTTTTGATAACGTCCACAGTTCACCCTATAAAATGTAAATATTGATTAATAACCGATATACAATAGAACCTTATTCAGTTTACCGCTACACCAAGTGGATATAGTACAATGAAAAATGTATATCTACAATATGTTAACCATGATGGAGCCAAGTTATATAAATTTAAGGCATAATATGAATAACGAATGATTTCTGTTATTGACCAACACGTGACAGCTAATAAGAGGCCAGGTGTTAATTGAGCCTAGCAGATAGAAAACTAAAAAAATTGAACACTAATTTGTCTAGAATTACTTACGTATGGAATATAATTGGCTACGCCCCATACTAAAAACACACGTGATATTATTTGAATAAATACAATGATCGGATTTGATCTTACAAAACCGAGAGCAGCATGTATAACCTAAAGAAAATAAAAATAAATAAGAATACTGACTGAGAAGATTCATAACTATTTCATTGGTAGAAATAATTGATCATACATAATGTCTTAAATATGGATAAACAATCTCTTTTTTTGTTAGTAATATGTGATACTAACTTCTAAGAATGCTGCTGTCTGATATATTTTCAATGGTATTTCGATTGATTTCCATAGTCCATAACATTCGCTTAAATCTTTGAATGAACGATAAGAAAGTAGACTTTTCAATGTTTCATAGAATATTAGTGACCATCTGAAACAGATGCAGTTTAACTAGAATAAAAAGAGTAAATCTTTTCGAATATACAATACCCAATAGTTAATACTCCATTATAAATAAGTAAATATCCTGTTAGAAAAGGACTAGGTGGTACGACTTTTGGCGAGGTTGATGTCAAATTCTGCTTCTGAAAACTGGTCGTCTTTCTATCCATTATTTGATAATAATCTATAAAGTGAAACAAAAATTTTGATAAATTAGAAGCTATTTTCTATCATTAAAATATCACGCAATAAATAATGGAGGAACTAGAAACCAACTTTTCTCTAGTATGTTGTATTTTAGATGAAAAACATTTTATACTGGCACAGCTTGTTCGTCTTAACTGATTGGATAACAGTTTTACACTCAAATTTTTATACTCACAATATTTTGAATATGGATACAATAACAATTGACATCCATCCCTCGTTCATCATGAACAATTATGATATTTTATGGAAAAAATAAACTATAACTTGAATGTGATAGTTTAGAAAATATTTGGATGATCATTGTGTTGCACAAATGGTGTAATGATAAAAATCTTATGTCGATAAAAGCGAATAGTCATTTCAAACTTTCAAATGTATAGATTTTTAAAAAAATGACTATCCCAACATGAGGATTGATCGTTTTCAAATAGAGATGCTTTCAGTGATTGTTCAAAATTTCTTAAATACATAGAAAAAAGAGCAACAGTCAAACAATATTTTATTTCATTTCTAGAAGGATAATAAGTTAAATTTAACAAATAACAATCAAAACAAAACAAAACAAAAAAGAAAAAGAAAATGAATAATATATATACATGGTCGAACTCTCCACCATTTTAAATATAAGTATCATCAACTGATGTATCTTCGATATGTATTGAATTCAATTCTTCATTTTGAATAACATTCTGTTTAGATAAACGTCGTTGACATTTTCTTGGAATATGATAGGAATGAAGAAATTGTTTAGGTGGTGTGAGTTGAACAGTATAGATTGTTGGTATAAAATCTAACGAATTATTGTTATTATTCTTATTCAAATTTGTCCGAGAATTTAGTCCTCCACCATAATAACAATCGTATGGTGAATCATAATATGGCTAAATAATAAGATAGATAAGAAGATAATCAAATTCAATGAGAGAGTAATACTTACTGTTATATTTGCTTCTGAAGCATTTGGATCTAAAGAAAACAAAAAAAAAGAAAGAAAGTTATATATAACAAGTAAAGTACAAGAGAAAAATAAGGCAGATATTTGTATAAATTCTATCACGATATGAAAAATTTATCTTAATGTTTACTTTTCCTTTCATCACACATGATTAGAAATAAAAAGTAGAATAGAATAACCCATTTAAATAATTCATGCACTACTCGTCCCTCTGAACATGCATTTTTTATTTCTACCTTGCGAATTATGTCCTCCTATTCCATTTCCTTTATAATGTAAATAGGATATAACAGCATCTGTTACAGATTTCATTTTTTTAGTTGGATTTAATTTCGTCACGGTTGTTTTTGCTGCAGTCGATGTTGTTATTCCCGTCACTAACGCACCAATTGTTGTTGTTGATGGGACATGTGACTTTTCTCGTTGAGCTCGCGCAGACTGAGATACCCGTTTCGACGGGACAGTTTTACCTTTTGATGTATTTTTTGTTGTTGTTGCATGAGCATCATGCGCTGTTGATGAGCGACGTGGCTGATGCTGTTGATTTGGTAAAGATTGTTGTTGCGTCTTTTTAGATTTATTTTGACTAGATTTTTCTGTAGTAATTTGTTCTACACGTTTTTTTGGTTCATTTTTCGTCTGAACTAAAAAAAGATTATGAAATAGTCATAGAAAGTTTTGATTTATATTTAAATAAAAATATTTTTACTTTCGTTATCATCTCGTTCAAAATCATCTCGCCAAGTGACTTGTGGTTTTGTATTTGCTGTACGTTTTAAATTTTGTAATGATCGATGTAAACGAAGTAAAACCTAAACAGTAAAAAATATATTATATTTACAGAGATACTTTTTACTTTCTTCGACACCTTACGGGATACGGTGACGCATAGCTAAGTATTGTAAGTGCATCTTCAAATACAATCGATTCAAAACACACTGTTACTGACATAATACGATCACCTAGAATGAGAAAATTATAATCTTTATAATATCATACTTTAAATTTTCTGTAAAGCACACCAAACCTGATTTAATTAAGTTGGACTCAATTGCTGGTCCTTTATCGAATATATCTTTGACGTAAATACCCGCTCTCATATTTCCAACAATATTAAATCCAAGACCACTTAAATCGGGACTGACTAATTCAACTTCAATGAGTTCATTGTCCTAAACATATTATTTTTGAGATTAAAATAAGCTTGTTAGAGAAATCCCGCTTGAGGCAAACATGCAAAACTCCTCCCGACTGTTAATTATATCAATGACCGCGTTTAACCGTTGATTTTTAATAAAAATCGACGACATGGGTATGATCCCTGAGCAAAAAGATAATTATTATAAGTCTCGTAGCAGTTTTAAGATCATAACCAGAGGCTATAAAATCGTGAATAAGGTCCTGAATGATTTTAAGATCCTTAATACATAATGAGAACAGTTTTAACATTATACATAGGGACTCTAAGGTTATAACTGAGCTCCACTCGGGAAACGTACGATCATAACCACTGTCATTATTTGCTTAAATCATAACTCCATTGACGATGGAGATAAAAAAGCAGCAAACACGCTAGGGTTCTGAGTATATAACTACTATTTGGAGGAGTTTCATAAAAAAAAGATTATTTAACGTGCTCTCACTTGATCGATATTCATTGAACGAAATGATGATGTTCGATGTAACCATTGAGCTGAAGTCGGTGCCAATGTGTTATCATCTTGACGTTTACGATGGTGGTGATGAGCAGTTGAAGGCAGTATATGTCGAAATGGATATGTACCAAACTAGACATAGAATAGACAACTACAGTGACACACGAACAGTCAGTCACTATTAAATGTATTCCATGTTTTATTATCTGACTAATATTGCAACGAAAAACTTTGTGCAAAAAATACAATTAACTTACTTTTGCATCGGTAACCTCAAGTGGTAATATTCCATTTGTTAATGTGTCTAATATAGAACGAAAATGATCAATGTTCAAGTAGTTAATTAGAAGAAATGTATACCATTGCGAATTTGTTGTTGTTGTACGTGCTTTTTAGTTTGTGGACGTGAATTATTATGATTAGCCTGGAAATAATTATCATATGTAACATCGGCTGAATTAAATTGGGGTGAGATGCTTTTTAGACAATTTGATTTCCAAGAATGAAGTTCTGAATGAAAAACAACAACATAATAATACATTATTATATATGAAGAACACTTGCCACAACTGAGTGTTGTTTACTATACTACCTTGAAATTTTGGTCTTAAATAGACAAGATATGTTAAAAATGCCACAAAACATGAAAATATTAATGTTCCGATAATCGATCCCGCTAATGCCCCATTCGTAATACATTGAACATGAGGAAGACTTTTTGCATTTGCTAGTGTAGATATTGGACTCGAAGCTGGTGGAAAAAATGTGTCAGATAATGATAAAAATTGTGAGGAAACGAAATTATTAACAATCAACAAATAGAATAATACGAGACCATTGTGTATATGGCATATATACATGACGCTATTGCACATAGTCTACATGTGCAAGCCTAGAATACAGAATAAAGGTTCTTTTAGAATCTCATTGATAGACAGGTAGAAAAATGGAGGAAACAATTTTAGGAATAGAACATGTTTGTGTTTATTTGTGATAAAATTTCGATGATTTTGTTGTATATATCAGTTTGTATGAGCTGAGTCTTGAATCGGAGACGTTATATCATAAATGATCATAACTCTATCAAAAAACATCATAGTTAGAAGTAGTCTTATTTTATGCCGGGCACTCCATTCTATCGTGTGACACGGATAACTCAAACATTGAAATTTTGCATAAAAGAAGGATAAAAATAAATTCAATGAAAAACACCAATCAAAACATCTTTTTTCTTGTTCTGAGCGTCACTTTTCTGTGTAAAACATGAAGAATTATCCTAAAACACGTCCGTACATGAGTAAACTTCTTGGCAGAATCCAAGTTTTACTTCAACGTATTATGACGAGCTCAGTTTTTGTAATTAACTTTTTCTCAATTCATCCTAAGTCTTAATTGTTTACTTTACTTCAATCAGAGACAGTTAAATATTTTTCAATAGATTTTTTTTCCAGTATTTCTACGGAAATTTATTTTTACGAACAAAAAAGTATAGAATATAAGACAAGAGCTATCTTATTTCCTAGTCATTTTCTCAATTCCTAGACTGTACTCTCGATAATTACGGCTATCCGATTCACATGCCTGTTGATTTATTAGTTATTGTTGTATATTGGTATTATTAAGAGTAATTATAGTACACACCTTTCATACAGCACGGATTGGTATATATACGTTTGTTTTGGTTCTGAATCTTTTTTTATTCATTTTCATGCTTGATGATTAGATAAACGATGGGCGCATTTAAATAAAATAAAATGTGAAATTGTTTTTTGTTGAAAAGAAAATTCACACACACACATACACACAAAGAATAAGTGTACACGTATTGATTATCGTTCTTTTTGTTGAAAAAAAGACGATTACATTATTGCAAACATATTGAATGTTTGTGTATTATAAGAAAACTATGTTATTTTTATTAACATTGAGGTTAAGATAAAACAGCACTTTTTCGACTTTAAATCTGTTAGAAATAACTGAAAAAGAAGAAATCAATTCAGAAATTAAGACTTTTACTTGTAACGAAGAATCACTAATCGAGATAAATTATTGATGATACATACAGTATTTTTCAAAAACGATAAATACTGAGATTAACAAGTATGCATCAATTATTGATCGTACAATTATCGCATAATTGAATATGATATTTTACATAAAAAAAATGACAATGTCTTGAAAATTATATTTGCTCGTCTTTCTTCTGCATTTAAATGATTTAAGACCATTTTTATCGATTGAGGTTTCACCAAGATTCCTTAGGATTTTTCGAAAACTTTTTTACAAGACTTCAAAAACTGACTACTGTTCAACAACTTGTGTTATACTATTAAAAAAATAATGTTCTCTGATAGATGGCACATTTGAAATGGCGCGTAAGGCATCAAAAATTCATCGCAAAAGAATGTTTCAGTTTGTTTTAGCTCATTTTAGATGAAATAGAAGCAGAAAAATATGCATTGTTTAGTATTTCTTTAGATCAACTCTAAGAAAACATCGTTATGAATAACTGGACAGATCGGATTGATCTCAAATTGAAGTTAACTCGTGTGGTTAATAAAGGTTAATAGTGTCCTATTTTTGACTTTCGATCTAGGTTTGTCGTGAAAAATATTTTGTCTAGAGACAGCATTATCGGTTTAGTCAAATGTTTTAACTTTGGAAACTTTGTATCTCCTCGAGAAAGTAAAAGATTAAGTATCAAGATCTATTACTCTCTAAAAAGAAAGGTACTCTACAAAACCAATAAAAAGTATTTCAATCCCAGGAAACCCAAATTGGTTCCGGTATTTTAAAATACTCTTCCAATATCGTAGGATACCTAGAAGGTATCTTAAAATACCGAAAGGGGTGTTTTAAATACGGATAAGAGTATTTCTAACTTGATTGAACCAAAGAAGAAGATATTTGCATTTCGGATCAAAATGAATCTGTTCATATTTGCATGATTTCTCTGTCAAATGTCAAGAAAATGTACCCTAAAAACTTAGAAAAGGAATATTTCTGAAACCAAAATTGATTTCTGTTAGTGACGATTCATCGACATTTGAGCAAAATGCATTACTTAAAGCTACTCACCCTCATCCTTACCTTCTACAAGCCTCGAATAGGACAAAGAAATTTTATCATGATCGTTATTAATCGTTATCGAAGTGAACAAGCATTAAATTTTCGTGATCGGAAAAAAGTCATATTGAAAAAGTGCCTAATGTCGGGTCGCTCAAACGTCGGTCACTCAAGTGTCGGCGCTCAAATATCGGTTGACGTTTTGATCCATATTCGGACGATATCTGATGAACATGAATAGATGAAGTCTGGAGCATTTTTAATATATAATCATCCTTTGACATGGCCAAGGATCCCTTAAAATTTTGCATAGGTCGAGTTTATCTTTTCAAAGATATGCTTTTGACACAGAAGCCTATCCCAAGAAGGACCCTCAAATTTTTATTTTAATTGTAAAAAAGTTATCATACGATAATATTCCTACTACCGATATTCGTTTTTTTTATTATTGTTATTTATTCAAAAGAATTCTACTCGCCAGTACCTAATGCAAAGAATTTTCTCGAATAAGACAACTGATTCGATATTTATTGGCAAAGTGAATAAGACCTCTAGACATCATACAGAATAATTAAAAAGAATCAATTTCAGAATAATTAAATATTGTAAGAGTGATTCACTCGAATCGAATAATAATTCACACTCTTATAGGTTACTGTTTATGTGTATTGAGCATAAAAGTCAATCAAAAATAGCAAATATAAAATATACTACTTTTTTTTTACGATGATAATCATCAGTTTCTGATAACTGAACATTGAACACGTATCGTAATGTCGATCGATTAGAATAAAGAAGTCTATTCTAATAGAGGAGCATTTACAACCAAAGAACTGTTCAAAATTCCCAAAACAGAAAACATTAACTATGAGCGAAATAATTACTTATTCTAGTTTAGAAAGCGCTCTTGTGATTACTAAAAGCTAGCTCACCATAGTGAAAAGATCGTGGATACTAAGTTAATCAGACAAATACACAATCCTACCTCGAAACGTTTTTTTTTTTTTTACGTTTTATAATTTTTCATATCAATGTGTCTGGTAATTTTTATCATTTCAACAAAATTTTATGACGTTTTGTCTTTTATCTTTTTTACGTAATTCCGAAATCAAGCAACAGAAGAGATGTATTATTCATTCACCTTTTGTCTTTTGTCTCTCTTTTTTTTGACACGTCTATGAGATACATATAAGTGGGGCAATAATAAATGGTTATCAAACTTTGAGATTATGAGATTGTCTACTACCAGAAGACGAAAAGTTAATGAACATAAAAGTAAATATTACGTGATCTATTAACTACTAACTAAAGAACGTTTTTATAAACGAGAAGAAAAAAATATATATCGGACAAATCAAGGACTGTATTAATTAAAAAGACAATGATCGAAGAGAATAGAGAAAAAAGAGATTCATGTGCAAACAACTGATGCTCTACAATATATTTTCTGTTCATTTTCTGTTATAATAAAACATGTAGTGAGATATGCAAACAGTTCTTTTATAGTGAGACATTTTGATTCTTGATCACGTTATTCACCTGTCGAATTGAAGATTCTTTCATGGTTTTCTGATACTTTGTATTCTTCGTAATTTTCTAAACTAAACATGTTTAGATCTTTCCAATGTTCTGATTTGAAGATAAAATCTTGCTTAATAAAGTAAGATGTTTCAGTTCTCTTCAAAGTCTTTTGTGTAGAAAATATGTCAAAAAAACGGAGATATACTTCTGTAACTTAGTTTAAAATAACAAATTAGAATATTTTTTGCTATTTCTCTTTTACATGAAAGACTCTGCCGAGTGACGAGTATTGAAACAAATTAATTGTTAGGTAAGATTTTCTTTCAAACGCTAAGAGAGGCTGGGCAGATCCAACTGCGGATCTGAACTTTTTATAGAAGAGATAAAGTTAAATTTCCAAAAAAATGTTCAACTACATTCCAATATTGATTAATCAATTCGTTTACAAGAATCAAGAAACAAAGAAATAGTCAAACTATCTGTTGTTACTCTTTCAAGTAGACTCTTTTTCAAAATTTAATGTTTTTCGTATTCATCCTCTGTTCTTAATCTATTACCATCAGAAAAGTCTGATAGTCAATAATCGCGATGTACTTAAAACACTTTTTTGTATAGACTCAATACAAAATGCTAGTAAAAGCGTTAAAATTTTGGCAATAACAAAGACTATATGTTGAATGAAAATTTGAAGGTTAAAAAGAAATGTTGATGAAAAAATATTAGTTAAGTTAAAGTAAAACCTAGCCAGAATTGATCAGAGCGCAAAAATATCACAAAACTTGACGGAATTTTATTTCGATAGCAGAGTAAAGTCAACTGTTATTTTTTCATAGTGTTCAATCTAGCGTTAATATATACTTGAACAACATTTTTCTTTAGTAGTGGTACCTCACGTGTGTTTTCGACCGATAATGACGAGTGATACAAGAAAATAAGTAATATGAACAAGTAATTGAAACTAACATTTAATCAATTGTTACAAGAAAGTCCCATGGCTTAGTTATTGTATAATCAAGTTTTTATACAAGATTATTTTTATCTATTCAATTATCATCGATATCTAGATGTTTAACTATACTACACTGGGTGTAATATGATGATTGTTGTCACTATATACAATAAAACAGAACAATAATGTTGATTTACCATCACACTTTTTTTTTATTTTCATGATGATTTTGACACAGACAGGAATGAACGAATACTAATATATAATCAACGTATATAAAGATGATTTGATGTATAGAATAAGTCAATAAACAAGTTAACTGCTAGTCAAAATAATCAAAAACACAAATTATTCAGCCGGTGTCCTCTCAATTCGTCCCTTCCCATTTCCTCCCATAAAGTTTTTTTCTTGATTCGTCTCTTCTCGATTCATCTCTCACATGCATACATAGTCTAAATTATCCAACTTTTAAATTTATTTAATAAACTTCGTATAAAAAATATTTTGGTATTTTCCTGTTCTGTGAGCTACAGTTTGAGATCGTTTAGGATGAGTGAAAAAAGAAGAAACATCATAAAGCTGAAGAATCAGATATACAAACAAGAAAACGAAAAAAAATTATAGAATAATATTGATAGGAAATTAAAAGAATTATTTCAGGAATGAATACAAAAGGAACGATAAATAATGTTCAACTGACTATTAAATGCGGCAGAACTGTTAAAATAACCCCAATTAAATTGATATATTCACGAATAATTGATTTGTCTTGTAAACATAGTGATATTGAACTTTTGTTTATATATTGTTAATTGTTATTGTTGTTCTCTTTATACAAAGTTTATTAAATAAATTTAAAAGCTGGATAATTTAGAGTGCATGTGAGGACGAGTCGAAAATGGGCGAATAAAGAAAAAAATTTTAGGAATGAAATGAGAAGGGATGAATTGAGAGTAAACCATTCAGCCAGATACGAGAGTATAAATATTATTCGATAAAGGAAATGCTAAATAGTTGTTATGACCTTAGAGAAACAAACAAGAATCTATTTGTTGAACTGAGTTTACTGTCGTCATCCGTATCAAAATACAGTACCCTTGGATATTTTCTGAATAATTTTTGAAAGAAAGACGCTCAATACTTGCAGATTCCGTTATTTGATAGAGGGTAGTTGGGGACATCTGTCTATGGAGAATAAAATAAAACTACAACCTGTAGCTGCAGGTGATGTAGTTCATCAATACTTTTTAGATAAGATCCATCTCCATTAAAAACGTTTCAGATTTTAAAAATGCCATAACGTGGATTCAAACCACCGGACTTAGCTCCACAAGTCCCAAGTCTCCGTCTACCATGCTTCAGGCGTTCTGCAAGATTCTCAAAAAATATATAGCTCAGTCATCGATCCAAACTACACCAGAATTTGAATATATACTCCCATTTTGTCTGCTGAATTTAGGTCTGCAATCAATATTAGAAAAGAAATTTCCTCATTTACAAATTTCTAAAAAACCTTCTCAAAACCAAGTGCTTTCTACTGATTTAATCTACTGCTAAAATTCAGAATATACGGCAGACAAACTGGAGTGCTTGATGAAATTCTGGTGTAGTTTTGATCGATGACTGAGTTTTAAATTTTTTAATTTTCGGTGAAAATAGATAAAAATGGATTATTTCTCTTATTATAGGTTTTCACTAGGTTTCTTGAACTTTCTTCTGAAAAAACTAACGTTGTCATGTGGGGCAGCATGCTCAAAAACCTATATGTGACTAGTGGTTTTCAAGTTTATCAAACGAAGATTGGTAGACCGCCGGGGAACGCCTGTAGCGCCTGAACCATGGTAGATCGAGGCTTTGGACTTATGTAGTTTAGTGGAACGAAGTTCGGTGGTTCGAATCCATGTTTCGGTATTTTTAAAATCTGGAACGCTTTTAGTGGAGACGATTTTATCTAAAAAGTATTGATGAAGTACATCACCTGCAGCTGCAGGTTGTAATTTTATTTTTATACTCCATGGACTGATGTCCCCAACTATCCTCTATCAAATAACAGAATTTGCAAGTATTGTGCGTCTTTCTTTCAAAAGTTATTCAGAAAATATCCAAGGGCACTAATTTGAAATGGATGATAGTTATCTCACTAAAAACTTTTGTATGCAAGAAAAATAGTCATTTCTTTTTCTTATTCTGTGATACAGTAAAAATTTTCAATTTTTCTTTCAATAGTTTTTAAGTAAAAGCACAATCTCTTAGGATCAGCTAGCGAATAATAATTATTCCAATGAATTGATTAGTCTACAACCAATTCAAGGCGTTATATACGCATTGATTCTTATATGTGTAATTTTCAGTTGCATTTATATGAAAAGTACTTAGACTATAACGATCATTCCCTGTGTAAAATTTTGTTGATGAATCGATGTTATCGGTGTTTGTTTTAGTTGAATTCTCTACCCAAGCAAATATCACCTATGAGAAAAATCTAGATACATTTCGTCTATAATCGGGCGATACCCGATTAGTTGTCTTCTAGATTACTAGTTGGAAAAGGGACTTTTAACTAGATGCGTCTGCAGACGCATCTAGTAATAGTTGAATCGATCGATTATCGGGCGATAAATCAATAGTTGCAACTAGAAAAAATCTAGTAATCGCCCAATTACTAGATTTCCACGGTCGTTATACAGTCGTTGCAATCGAGTAAAAATCTAGTAATCTAGATGAATCGGGCGATACTAGATTTTTTTTTGACGCTTGGGTATAAACTATTTCCACAGTATGACTACGTGATTTGCTCGCAAAGATTGTAGAAAACTCATTTTTGAATTTTATTTTTATTTT